TATTGTGCTGTTTAAAACACTTTTTAAAACATCGGGTCCTAGCAAAAAAATATAGCTAATTTATAATTCAATTTTACTTAAAGTTACAGAATAGGGAAGAGATTCTGTAATGCAAATAAGCTTCCCTGTGATAAATATTTAGCTTTGGTATAGAGTTCAGCAGCATAAGGGAAGCGAGTCAGAAGAACACATCTGAATAGTAATTCAGTGCTCTAATAAGTCTGGAAGCTGTGTTCCTGACTTCTGAAGAAATGGTGGATGCTTGCAAATGAAAAATACTTTTAGCCATAGTTTGCTTAGGTAAATCAGGACAACTGTAACAGCACTGGGGGTTTGATTTTGTACTTTCTCATAAATTTTTGACTGTCTGGGGAAAAAGAAATCAGAAAGTATAAAACTATACGAAAACACAGCATGTCGTTAGATTACAGCAGTAATGTTGATACCAGCCTTCCCCTGAGAACCTTGTTTGATTGCAAACAAGATTCTTCCCAATCCACATATAAAAATGTGTTTATCTCTTAGAAACGAAATATGGTTTCAAATGATGGTTGACAGTTTCAGTGAAAAAGGAGTTATCATCACCAAACCTGGATGTATAGGAGCGACTCAAGAGTTAAAAGGACAGCAGCACAGCTGAATCCATTTAAGTGGCAAAGTGGTTTTAATTGGGTTGGTTGCTAGGGAATGGATCCAGCACCCTGTATTTCCATGAATTTAAACATTGGACAAATGGCACACCTAAGTCTGCTTAAATAATACACCTGGTGTTGGCTCCAGCTGCATTTAGAGCAGGTGTGCAGTGCTTCTTGCAAACCAGTTTTCCCTTATTGTGCAGTTCCACTGTGTGGCTTACACGCTGTTACTCTGTTCTGTGGCGGCTGCTGAGCAAGTTGAACTTGCCATGTCAATGCTGTATTTAGTGTTTTGCAGTATCCTTATTTAAAAAAAAATCAGTTAATGTATAACATAACTAGAAATGGCTTTCTAGAAGTAGACTGGAAGCAGGATTAACTTACATATTTGATGCAAGAATTAATTACATGTCTGTGCGTTTTCTGTTACAGGGTCAGATACAACTCTTGATTATATTGGAATAACTTAATTATTTTACTTCAGTGAAGTTGCACTGGGCTTGTACATGAGACAGTTGTGCTAGGACTTGCATTAGCAAGTTTGGGAGCGCCAGTGTGTGCAAGCCACTGGCAGTAGCTTTGCATGCAGTGCCTGTTGCATCTGTGCCAAGCAATGATCATCAATAGCATGTTAAAAATACCATCTGGGGGTAGATCTGACACTGGTTATCCCTGTGCATCCTGCCTGTGCTGCAGTAGAGCTGACATTAATTACTTGAGGGCAGTATTAAAAAGAAGTCTTTCCTTGGTATAAATGCTACTTGAGAGTAGAATATGGCTCCGTTCCCTTATAAATAGAATAAATGTACTGAAGTCTGGCTTTATCTCTTCAACATTTATAATGTGACTTAATGTAATCTTCTGTGTTGCCACACAGGAGAATTAATTTTGGCTCTATTCTCGTTCCCCATACTAGCAGGAGTTAAGAACAAAAAGAGGCAGCTGTATCTAATTCAGGCGAGGAAGGGAGTCAGGGACTTGTTAAACTCAACCGTAAACCATAGAAAATAAGAGGAGCAGACTTTCTCTAAAGCAGCCTGCTAGGAGGTTTCATAGGCTTGATAAAGCTCAGCTAGATGCCCTATCTGAAGAACCTTTCATAAATTTCTGATAGCACTTTCCTAAATATAAAGCAGGAGTGACTAGACTTGTCAAGTTCATATGTAATCTGGGAGGAAATAAGAGACATACCTAATTCTCATGAGAGCTACTACAGATTAAGCATCTTTAATATTGGAGGATGGCCTGCAGAGGCACATAAAGCAGTGGACCATCTGTACCACTCAGATCAAAATGCATCGTTGGAGAGGGTGCTATATTAAAAGTGAAGGCAGATTGGAGCACTGCTGTGGAACTCTTCTGGCTTTATCTGTGAGTTGCAGATTAAAGTTGTTGACAGAAATGGGGAAAGAACTGTTAATAGCAGCTTTATGTCATATTTATTCCCTAAAATTCACTGAAGACTATGGGTTAAAAAAAAATGAATTTATATTTGACCACTGGCAGTCCATGTGAGAGACTCTTCTCTTGCTATTCTGAGAACTATTTAAAGCTGACTTTTAGATTTTACTGCATATATGTGTTAGTTGTGGCATGTCTGTCTTTTTATGAACTCATGCTTCAAGAAATAGGTTATTTTCTAAAATTGCTTTAATTTTCTTACCTAGTTATTGGTATGAGTTTTGCACATAATTACATACTTTGAGTTGGTTCCCAGCAGTACTTACCCTGATAATAATAGGAACATAACACATCAGAATAGTTGAAAAATCTTAATCGAGAAGGGGGTTGAGAAAGAGATAACAGGTTTGGTAGAAGATGCCTGTTGTACTTGACATGAAATTCTCTCCTCCACCCGCAGTATCCTCTCAGAGATAACTAATTCTTGTAACCATAAATATACAAGTGTGGATAAAATAGCTGTGGAATAGCAGTTTATGTACATCCCCAAATGCAGTAAGTATTTTATAGATAGATAAGCAGCTCTCTGGGCTGGGGACAACTTCTATTTTTAGATACAATGGAGAGAGTGAGGGTCAATAATTTGTGAGGAAAAGACGGGCTGAGGGGAGAGAGGCAGGGAGGTCCTGAGGTTATTTCCATGCATTTGTTAACAGAAGTGAGAAAAATGCACAGAAGACTGTTATATGCACAATACTCTACAGTGAGTGTAGTTATGAGCAGATATAACGAGAACAAAACAGGCTTCTAAGTGCTGCAAGAAAATTCAGCAAATGCTATTATTCTGAGAAGCTATTGGCTAGTATAGAGCAGGAAAAAACCCCACATTAACTTCTAGACCATCAGAAAAATGTATGTAAAGAAAACATCTTGTCAGGTTATTTTGGTGGTTGTTGGTTGTTTGGTTTTTTTAAACTGAAGTCCATATGGAGTAATTTCTGAAGAGTAGCAGCCATTTCTCTACCCCTTCCCCTGAAAAGCTGGTGTCCAGGAGTATGTGCCTGCTAAACTAACTCTTTCCTTTTTTTTTCCCTTTTGAAACAGATCCAAGTTTGCCTCTCAAGCTGCTTTTGACTACTCTGGACAGTAGCAACACATTGAATCTGACATGATTCTTCCCAGTTGTACTGCTGCAGATGGAATTCCAAGTACAAGGAATGAAAATTGATAGGACTTGTCAGTGTTCCTTCTGCTATAGCCTGGCTAATCTCTGAGCAGCAGCAGAGGTACTAAAGTTGTATCTGTAAACTTAGGACGTTGGACTTTTCTAAAAAATGGAACAAGTGCTAGGATATTTAAAATCGATTTTTAGTTTCTATGAAAAAAGTTAATTTCACCTACCTGTGAAACTCACTGGAGAAACTAGTAAGGAAGAAGGATTTTTCATTTCCTCAAAACCCTATTAACGTACACTTTTGGAAAGCAGCCTTAATAAATATTGCATCATACTATAGTTATATATCTGTTGACTTATATGAAAATTCAATATGCATTTCTTATAAGCATAGAAGCTGAGTATAATTTTTCAGACCAGTGATTTTGCTGTTGCATGAGAACTTTCTTAATCAAAGTTTATCTCAAAGAACAGACGCTGACAGAGATGAAGTAATAATGTGGCTATGAAATAATCTGCTGAATGAAAAACTGTTTTCCCAAGTGGCTTTAGGGACAGAATAGCCAATGTATTTCTCTGGGTAAAACACACTGTGCTGGGTTCTTTCTACCCAGACATTTCTGGGTTTTACGAAAGGCAGATAGTCTCCCTTGTGTCATTTTTAATCGATTTTTCACTGCATTACAAGAGATCATTGGCACCAGTCCAGGAAAAGGCAGGCAGCAAGTAGGGAATTCATCAAAAGCTGACTCATTGATCACTGGATCTGATTAAATAATTAGTACTTGATATTTTCAATACAGTTTCATACTGTTATTTTGACTTCTGAAAGCAAGAGAAAATCCCTTTGTACCAGATCACTGAGCAAAACTATGATTTCAAAAATGCTTGAGCATGCTTATTCATTTTTTGGAATCTCCTTGTAGGAATTGCTAACAATTTTTTATTGGCTCATTAACAGGAGCAGTACCAGTTAAACGTGCTCTGTTTTGCAACAAGTGAATTTTGGGGCATTGTGTTTATGACCGAGAGAAGTCATAGGCAGTGCAAATCATTTTGGTGCATCCATTCCCAAACACATCCAGTAATGGGCCTTCAAATGTGCTCATTAATAATAATAATGATATTTTTTAAAAAATAATCAACAGAATTGCTGAAGGGATATCACTCTAACATCAAAGCTGTAGTAGACTTCAAACAGTATCATTCCATAGTTCCAAGATGTGGGCAGCTCTGCTTTCTAATGAAATTTGTAAGATAAATTGCTTTACAACAAGCCTTCTGTCTGAGGATCCTGTATGAATTTGCAAATGTGTTGTTAATTTAGTAAATTTTATCGCAGTCCTATTTAAAAATATGGATAGATGTGGGTTTTTTTTCTTCAACATCTGCATTTTTGATGCAATAAACAAAAATGTCATCTCAAAACATCCCCGAATCTTAAGGAAGAAGATTTGCTTTTTATATGTATCAAAGCAAGAGTTTGATACCTTGCTTAATCCCTGAACTTCCTGCCAGATTTAAGCATAGAGTGAAATTTAATTGCCTACGTTTGTAATGGCTTATGAACTACAAATTTTTCAAGTTTCTACTTCCAGCACTAGAAAACATTCAGTTGCTTTGGTTTGTTTGATTGTTTTTTGGGTTTTTTTCTTAGTAGTTAGATTATTTCAAGTATATTGCTTTTACTTCTTTGGAGAGCACCTTGCTGTTCCTTTGGGGGCAGGAGGGTCAAGGTATAAATAAATACTTGTTTCCCTCTCCCTTATAGGAGACCTGCAAACAAAAAAGAAATAGAAGCCATTAACCTACCTTGTTCAGAGAGAACACTAAATCAGCACAATATGGCACAGCATAGTATTGTCCTTGGATTATTCATGATGACTGTTTTATCACTGTTGGATGGAAGTCCTGCTTTCCTGTTAAATCAGCGTCTGAAGGGAAGATTTCAAAGAGACCGTAGAAACATCCGCCCAAACATCATCCTTGTTCTTACTGATGATCAGGATGTAGAACTTGGTAAGAGCCCAACATAAAGAGAATTTTAACTAACCAGTATGGCACTGCTTTTCCTTGAAGCTAGATTCTTGCGTTCAAAATAATTACTGTCTTTTTTAGTGTGAAAAATAATAGGAAGAATAAGTGGAAAAAGTTTTTAAATCTACCTTTATGTAGAAAATACTTTCCATCTGCATGCAATTCAAGGACAGTGAAAGTTAGTCTCAGCTTAAAATGTCAGACTTCCTGTTTCTTTGGAAATATGAGATTCCTGCCTATCTGTCTTTATCTAGACACCTAAACTGTGCTTCTGGCAATTGCAAGTATAACCTGGGAAGCTACATGCCAAAGCAGTAGGTTTAAATTCATAACTGATTATTGCACCATGTAATTACCCAACTTTTTTTGGTGTAATTACAGACATTCATTACATATACAATTTTAATTTTAATTACTTAAATGTTACCTAACATAGTCATACTGGCTTTGGTATTGTCCATTTAGATGTGTAATTAATTACTGACCAAAATCTCTTAGTATGAAGAGGTTCTACTGTATTATTCAACCCTATGTTAATTGCTGAAGAAAGGAGATGAAGATTAAATACATACTGTGCCTAATGATTTGGAATAATGAATTAACTGACAGAGTCTGGGTTTTGTTCTGTTACCTGGACAAGCTTATATTTACCAGATGTTGTCTATAGTTAGAAGTAATTAACACAAACCACTTTACATTAATAATTTTGCGTTAGAAATATGCTTTTAAGTGAGTATAAAGCCCAGATCATCTGAAAAACAAGAGCTTGCATATGTGCGGTCTGGTGGGGTTTTTTGACAGTTACTGCATCAAATTTCTAGTATGGATGGGAAAAGTTGGAAAACAGACCTCACAGAACACAATAGTGAAATTAATCAACTTGTATTGCTTATACACTTACTTACCTAGTTGAGAAGTTAATCATAACAACGCTGCAGTATTCTTAGAGTTGCTTCCTTTTTATCAGTATTACTGCATGTCTGCAGTATCATAGGTGTCACATTCTTCTCAAAGGTGATGAGAAAGGCTGCTATGGTAGTAACCCCACCAGATACAAATGTAATTCAAATTAGTAGGATCTGAAGATTTGTTGTTGTCATTTTTTTTTTTCAATGGTTATTTGGATCACAAATAAAGCCCTTTCAATAATGTATATCCAAAAGAACTAAGTACATTATCTTGCAGGCTCAGAAGGTGGTCCTAAAAAATTTATCATCTTCTATTTTATGCTAGCCTGCTTGTTTCTGATGCAATTGTCTTAAGTCTTAAGACCACTGTCTTAAGTCCTTTGGGCAGTATATTTCTCTTCTCCGATAATCTGATGCTTTCCAATTTCAAGCATAATGGGCATGTGTCCACACAAATTAGGATCTAACTAAGGAAAATCCATTTGATGAAGCTGAGATTTGATACTCGCCATCGGCCACTAATGGCTTGGTGAGACCCAGTGTTTGTTTGAATTAATTTTTATTCTTGTCTATTGTCTGGTGAGGTGTCCAAGTTAATCAAAATTGCTATTTGTAGGGCTTGTGGTTAATGCATTTAAGAAAGGTGAAAACAAGATGTGGATTACAAATAAAAGCTAGGGAAAACTTGGAAGCTCTGAAAGTGTATCAGAGAAAGCTGTGCATAAGTGAGATTTCATCTGTTTCTAAGAATATTCTGTAACTGATGGGTGTTGTAGCTTTCATTGTTCTTTTGTGGCTACTTTTGAGGCAAAAGGGAAGACAACACAGTCTCAAGTGCTCTTAAGAGCCTTTCCTTTATTTAATTTAAGATAGGTTTAACTAGGTACCACTGGCATGTAGAGTTTACCAGAAAGAGAATGTCCTTCTTTCAGGAAAGAAGTGCATCTTTTTCTTTTCTTTTCTTTTCTTTTCTTTTCTTTTCTTTTCTTTTCTTATCTTTTCTTTTCTCATCTTTTCTTTTCTTTCCTCGTCTTTTCTTTTCTCTCTTTTCTCGTCTTTTCTTTTCTTTTCTTTTCTTTTCTTTTCTTTTCTTTTCTTTTCTTTTCTTTTCTTTTCTTTTCCAAACCTCAGCCTTGTATTGAAAACGGAAAAGACTGATGAGGGACTGATGAAAAGGATGCAGAATCTCCAGGTCAAAGGAGAACGACTGTAAATTGTAATAGATACAAATGGGAGAAGACAAATGAGAACACCAAGAACTACTGAAACATACACACTCAGCTGACTGTCTAATCAAAAGGCAGACAAGCAGAATATAAAGAAGAGGAATATACTGACAAGGAGAAAGAATTAATTAGAAATGAAGACTTTTTCCCCCCCTTAGAGCCATTTAAGTCCAAGTTAGTATAATGCTGATGTCCCCTGTGTGATGGACTCAGCATCTCCAGTTTAATTAGGTTTGCCTACCATATCGCTGTGGTTTAACAAACCAGCTTATTTCATTATCTCATAGTTGGAGAAAGATCTGATTATTTAGAAGATATTTCAACCATGGTAGAGAAATCTGAGCAAGAGCTGATTTGTATGTTCCTACATCTTCCTCTGAAAAACTACCAAAGGAGCATGGCAGGTAGTTTTTCTTAGTTTTCATACGTGGAGATTAGGACCTTAGAGCTTGGTTAAAATTAAATATGGAGAGGAAAAAAAAATGAAATGGAGATTGGAAAAGGGTGTCTAATGAAGTTCAAATAGGACAAACATAGAACACTTTAGGGGACAGTTAATTAACATTCTGGGGTTCAGTCAACTTATCTGCATATGGATACCACTTCTTAAATTGTGCTTCAGAGTAGACTAAGTCTCTTGGGACTTAATACCATTTTTCCAACAGCTGGAACTCCCTAGAACTCGTGTAAATTATGACCTCTGACACCAAAACACAGCTAATGAGAAAGTCAGTATTATTTCACAAACAACTGGTATATATTCTCCATTAATATTAGTCCAAATGTCAGCCTTATCCCTAAAGTGAACTGTGAAGACACACTAAGCAAAGTTACGGATACCACACAAATTTCAAGTGGAATTTCAACCTCGGTTTTGCTTCACTTCGTTCAGTGAGCAGCTTGAATCCATCAAATTGATTAAACTTTCATATTTTCACAGTAGTCCAATGGTTGTTTTTTAAAATAGCTTATAAATTTCAAATTTAACTATTAAATCATTTTTATTTATTATCAGTGGTTTTAGACTGGTAACAGAACATTTTCTGAATTAAATACTGACACTTCAAAGCATGACTTTCCTTGGTACATCCACTGATGAAACCCCAGAAGGTTTTCCAGCTCAAAAGGTGATTTGGTGAGGTTCCAGTTGCTGATTAACACATAAGTAGTCTTCTGCCACAGAAAGATCAATTTCTGCTTTTTCTCACAATTCTCATGTGTTGGAGGCAAGCTGAAGAAAATAAGTTTTGGTTGGCTGATTTAATTCTGTTTAAAATATTTAAAGCTGGCCTATTTAAGATTGTGCAGAAGAGTACGCTGGATCTTTACCTTCCACTGATCTGTCACTCTGTATTAGTTCTCAAGCTGGGAAAGCAGATTAGATCATAAGTTTTTGTATTAAAGACTGTTGATACATAAGGCCTTGTCATTACAGCAGTTTTATTAAAGGAGGTTACTGTCCCCAAGGGGAGTCTTAACATGTACTGTTATTTATGCACAGATGCCTCTGTCATTTAAAGGGGTTGTTAAATTGTATTTTAATATTGACATGACAAAGCATTCTTTCAGTCTGCCTGTTTATGCTTGGGCTAGCTCATAAGACAACGCAGAGGAAACATCCGCAGTTTACAGGCTCACATAATGTATAATTGACTGTTATAATTGTTAGCTGTGTTGTTGGTGCCTTTGAGCACTAACACTTATCTCACAGTTATGGAAACGAAAAAATCTTGCTCTCTTCACAAACGTCTTTTTGATATGTGAAGTTTAGTGAGTTCTAAAGGGGGAGTATAATAACCTGCCTTGGTGGTTCTCACAAAATGATGTGACAGAGATGTGCTCTGACCTGAGAAATGTGCAAACAGATTTTAATTTTTATTTTTTTTTTATTAATTCCAACAAATTGATCTCAAGAAAACCAGGGCAATTTTTAGGTGAAATGACCTACAGTAGCAATTAACCATCCTTCATGGTACCAGAGAGTCAAATTTCGTATGTGGCTTATGGCCATTTTCCCTCTAGGTTTTGACTCCTGGTTGTATCATTGTGCCCTGTATCAAATCGACTTACTGTTGCAATTTCATAATGAAATCCCTGCCTAAAGAGCTTAGAAGAAACGTAAACCCATTATTGACAGAAACAACATACAGCATACAGTTTGTGCCAGATGGTTGCAGGATGCATTGATTAAAGCTGAATTATTAATCCAACTCAAACTTGGGTAAGTTAGTACCAACCCGACTCCACCATGAACCCATACCTTCATCTTCGTGTTGTTTATTGGCTTTCCCTGCTCATAACAAGAAGGGAGCGTTGGTGATGGAAAGGTTTACTCTCCTTTGCAAGGTCATGCTGATGACAGGTACCATTACAAGTGCTTTGGAAAATAGAAGTTCTTCTTAGATCAACTGCAACTCATTCTGCTGCAGTTTTAACTATCAGGCACTGATAGATGAGGGGAAAATAAATGTCTTTTTTCTTCTCATCCTTAGTGTTCCTGCATATAGGAAGAACACTGATATGGATCCAGGTTTAGCTAGGTGGATATCTATGGTAAAGACAAGGCTTTGAACAAAGAACAGACATTTGGCAGTAGTGTGGCTTTTGAAATAGTTGGCAAAAAGACTTTTACTCCCATTATCCCAATTCATCCAAGTCCCTGCCAATTAAACTTGCCTGTTTGTTCTTAGATGATAGAAACTACATGGTTTTATCCATCTGATGCTACAGAACCAAGCCTAAAAAAATTTAAAGAGTTTTAGGTAACACTGTTATCAAAATGGATCAAGTAGATAGATAGAACTCAGTGAGCTGGTTATGGAAATTATTTTGAGGGCTTTACTTTGTCTTTGGTTCAGTGAAAGTTCCAGAAATCAATACCTGCTAATACCTCATATTAGGGAAAAGAACATTCTATCTAGGGAACAACTCTAGCAGACCCTGCTTGAGCAGGGGTATTGGGTCTAAATAATCTCCAGCTGTCCTTTCCAGCCTTAATGGTTCTGTGATTACATCCCTCAGCCTTTTGCAGAAGGTTGGCACAAAAGGCAGTGCATCAGGTATCTTCTGAAACCAAGGATTAAATAATGCTTGAGGAGTATGTAAACTTTGGTCAGAGTTGCTGCACAAAGTGAATTTCACTGTCTGGCCACATTGTCTCAGCCTAATTCATGCTGGTTCTTGCCTTCAGCTACTGGAACAGTTCTAGCAGCTCCAGAAAGGCTGCACAGGTGGTGCAGATGGTTACAGTGGTAAATCCTGAGGTTAGAGAGAGAGAAAAAATAGAAAAGCATTCTGATTTATCTCAAAAGGCTTGAGTCAAATCTTAAATTACAACTTCAGTATTTGGTCCTTCTTAAACAATGGGAGAACTTTGCTAGAGGGGAGAGAATAATCTCTTTGGATTTGGGCTCCCTATGAGATTACAGTGCTCTCACTACCTGTGCTTCATACTGGTCTCTGATACAACACATGAGCTCTTAGTTAGCTCTTGTGACTGAAACAAAACAATAATTCTGAGATGGTTTTCTTCTTCCAGGTTCTATGCAAGTGATGAATAAAACAAGGCGGATCATGGAACACGGAGGTGCTCATTTCATCAATGCCTTTGTGACAACACCCATGTGCTGTCCATCTCGCTCCTCTATTCTAACGGGGAAGTACGTCCACAACCACAACACTTACACTAACAATGAGAACTGTTCTTCTCCATCCTGGCAGGCTCAGCACGAAATACGTACCTTTGCAGTGTACCTCAACAACACGGGGTACAGGACAGGTAAGATCAAGACTGGTTCCATCTGAAAGCTTCCTTAGACTTATTAGTACACAGGCTAACGTATATAATATTTTAATTTGTTCTCATAATGGGTTGCAGCAGTGCAGAATGCCAGAGCTTCAGTCATGCATGTAGCTTCCTTGTACTTTTACTTGAGGAAATAAAAATAAATTTTAAAAAAAGACTTTGTTCAGAGGCTGGGAAGAGTAAAATAGTGTGCATGCTTGAACCAAAGGCATAGCACATGTAGAATATGCCCTGCAATTACCTGAAGTACATAGAACAGACAAGAAAGATGCTGTGGATAGGAATTAGTAGTTTGAAGGCACTGCTCTTTCTGTGCTTTGGGGCAGAGCTGTCATCTGGATTAGTTTCTCAAGACAATCCATTCCCAGAAAGATGTTTAGGATAAGTAACGACTGAGGAGTAATCAGCAAGATCAAAATAAATGATCCTCTGCATGCAGTGTTCCTTAGGAACAAAGTTCCTGTAGAAAGGATTTCAGAAAATATGTAGCATGTGTTTCGCATCTATTTCCTTCTTGCATTCTCCAGACATGAGATTTAGGTCCTTGCCCTGTTACAGTGGTCTTGTTACATTTCTTGCTAATGCATTTTTTAGTGATGAGAAACAGACATAAACCTGGTTCTGTTTGTGTTATTTATAGGATATATACACTGTAGTATTGTAGTATAGTTGTTATTGATAGCATACATTTGTGCTTTGAATTTATAGTAAGTGAGGTTTCCAGAAACTAGGATAAATCTTGAATAATAATTGTAACAAGACCATTATTTTCTTTTTAACTATTCACGCGAATTTTACATGTCATTGCAGCAAAGTCTTCATCTTACAATGAATAGGTAATTTCCTTGTTTTGTTTTGCTAAAAGAAAGACCCGAATTAATCTAGAAAGAAATAAATTAGGGGAAGTACACATACTTTATTAATTGGTTGCTGTTTCCCTCCATTTATTGTTCCTGGCACCACTACCAATGATCGTATGAATACTACACCAGGGTTAATGTTTTATTCTTCATAGGTTATTTGTTTTGTGTTTACTGATGTTTGTCTATTTTAATAATTTTTATATTTAGTGACTATATTGTGAGCACCTGCAATTTCTACTAACTTGCACAGCTATTGCAAGTATCCTGCTATTCATATGTCATATTTTTACATTAACTTAGTATTTAAATTTAGACCCAAATCTTAGTGAATCTGTATTACATTTTCAGTCTACCTCTCTTAATTTGCAAACTAAATTTATTGGAACACACATAGTGTGTCCACAACACATGAGAAATAGTACTTTTACAAGTACAAAGTGATCTTCAGGTATAAATGAGATCCTCATTCATGTAGTTAAATATGATATGTTATTATACAAATTTAAATGGGAATTGCCATTATTGGAGGCTAGTGTTAATTTCTGATCTCCAGTTAAAGTCTTGAGTTATGCACTGTGTATTAGCTGTAAAAAGGTATTCTGTTAACTTTTTTTCTTCCGAAGATCTGATCAGATTTACCTGTTTCAGAAACAGCAGGAAATTGTATTTTAGAACTTTGTTCACTCAGTTTCTCAAGTTTCAAAAGTAACCTGCTAAGGAGAGTATTTTGGAGGTTATGAATACAGTTTCTATGAAATGGGGAGTCCTCCTTGAACATGAGTGCAGTGAACAAAGGAAGACCTGGAAAGCACAGGAGTTCATTTGTAGGGAGTTTTTATTATTTTTGAGCTCTATGGTAGTACTGGTTTTCTCTGCAAAAACACAGTTTAGCTTCTTGATACCTTTTTTTTTTTTTTTTTTTTTTTTTGAGAAGGAGAAGAAAAAGAGACCATGAGGAATAAAGCTTTCTGAGGCTTGCTTTTATATTTAAGTTCACAACCTTGGAGTGAGAAAGCTATTATTTTGGAGGAGAGTTTGGATTTTTTCCTACTTCATAAGCCAGGCCTTCTCCCTATGTTTTTCACTTCTCTTTTCTCTTTTGTTTAAACTTGAAGGAAGAGATTGTACTCTCCTACTCCGCTTAACCTTCCTTTTGTTTTTCTTTTTTGCCACTCGTTTCACATCTGTTTGCCCTCTTCTCTATTCATTGTGAACTCCCTGTGTTTTGTTCTGTTGCAAAAGATGATTCTGCTGGGGACCGTCCTTTCTGTGTTGCAGTATTTTCCCTGTGGTGGTGGCATTTGTGGTTTGGATCTGTACAGACCCGTGCTGCTGCTGACACCTTTGGGAAATGTGCCGGTGGTACGTGGGCAGGAGGGAGCAGTGTGGTGCAGGTGTCTCTTGCACAAGCTGCAAGTAAAAAAACATGAAAGAAGGTGGAAAAGGTGTGTCTTTCCTATAATTGTTTCTCAGTTTCAACCTTGGTTGTCAGTTTTCTATTTTTCAACTTTGCACTTTAAAAAATTTGACTAACTTTGTTAAGCACCAGACTTGGCAGAATGGAGATGAAAGGAAAAAACTGAGCTCAAGGGAAGTTCTGTCTTTGCCTTCAACAGTCAGGATTTTGATCATCATGCATAGGGCTCACTGTCACTTTACGTGGATCAATTAAGATAAATATGACAAATGCAAAGGATGGGTTTTTCTTCCACAATGGAAGCCATTGAGGCAGTAGGTGTTACAGGTATGTCTTCCTCTGCATTAACCTGTCTGCCAATCTAAAAAATGCCAGTATCATGAAAAGCAACTGAAGGGTTATGTTCTCTTTACACAGCCGCTGCCGTGTAGACAAGAAGTTCACAATCTCAGTACATTAAAAAATCAGTCTGATTTTGAAGAGCTTCTTACATCATTGTCCTATTACATATTGTGGGAAATTAGGCAAGAAGGACAATTTACATAAACAAACCAAGTCAATTGATGAATTAATCTTTAGAAAAGTTAGTGTAAGCAACATCTGAATCATCATTAACTTAAAATAGAGGATGCTAGTACTTCAGCTTGGAGGAGGAGATTATTAGAATGGAAAAGAAACAAAGAGATCCTGTGACAAACATTTCTGAATGTCAGGGAAATTCTCTGCCAAATATTCCTGTGTAAACATTTACAGAAGAAGGTTCTGTTTTCTGTGAACATACACATCTCTTTCTTTGAGACAGCTTTTAAAATGCACAATGCATTGTTGCATGTTTGGGTCCTGCAGCAACAAATACCAAGGTGTTTTATTGGAATACAGATTTAAACTTTCCCTTAGACATTACTTAATGAGAAAAGCTTCCCTCTTCCATTTGCCTGGCTGGCTGAATGATTAGGTCTTAAAATTGGTGACTGGTTCCAGAATATTTTGTCAGCCTTATCTGCAGTCAGGAAATGAAAAGACATGTTTATCTTATTAAATTCAACAGAATTAGGGATGGTGGGCCAAATTCAGCCTGGCAGACGGACACTTTTGCTTCAGTGAATCTTCTGAGAGAGTTCCGTTAATTTATGTTAGGGCTTAATGTGGCTCAGTATGCAGCAAATGCAGTACACATTTTGGCTAACTTACCATCCTCGTTCCTGTTGAGCAGTACCCTATAGTACAGCTAACTCTGTTCAGTTAAATGAACCTATTAATAAAGGAAAAAGCTGCTACTTGTATGGTAATATGTCTGATAAGTCCATACCTGAATTATGCAAAGAATTAATAAATGCCATTTTGCACTAGTCATGCGTTTTGAACCTAGAGAAAAGTCATTGTGGGAGGTCTGTCTCTACCATTATAAAAAATTTTGTGGGAGTAAAAGTAATAATCATTCTTGGCACTTTCATGGGGCTTTACAATAATTAACTAATGAATTCATTAAAATTCAGTGACAATCTTCCATTTCTTCCTATTAATATTAGAAAAAGAAGATACAGTGGCTGACTGCATTCAAATAATTATTTTTCCACTTCACTGTCTGAGCCTTTGACATTTTAAAGTGATTTCAACATTACATTATAAAAAAGAGGAGAAAGGCTATTGCTAAATGTTTATTAAAGGAGGAATGAACCTGAAAAACATGTGACTACATTTTAGTATCTAGATACATGCCAGGAGGAAATTTCTCAGATTATCAGTTCCCTGCTGTAGAATTTGGTATCCACAGTAATTGCTGGTTGCTATTTTTTTAGCAATAGAAATACTTAAAAACTTAACTGAAGTTGATCTTTGTGTATAATTACTTGGTATGAAATAATTGTTGACCTAAAGAGTCAAAGGGTAGACAGAAGTAGAGACAGAATAGTCAAGTACTTTCTACAAGGTCATATGCAGGTGAAGGGCAACATTAAGAAGAGATGCCAGTTTTGAGTCACACTCCAGTGCCCTAGTCACTATGCCGTGCTGTACTTCTCTGTCGTGTTACATGCATAAAGAGAAAACGACTTATCCAAGTCAGAGTAACATCCTATATGCAGGACAGATAGCTTTTGCAGCTGACGAAGAACTGAATGTCATTTTTAAAAATAATAACCAAGTGATTCAAGAGTAAAACTTGATTTTTAGAAGTGATTTGCATGATTAGGAGCTGAAGTGTTATGATATTCACCTCTAACACACCTAGGTGACTTTTCAAAACTGACTATCGGGTTTCTGAATTATTTATCTTGAAGGTAAATTAGTTTCCTTAGATCTTTTCCTCTCTATATAGAAATATTATCATAGCAAGGTCTGTCAAATTATATCTGTTAAATGGTTTGAGACCATTAGACTTGAAAATGGTGTGAAAGAAAGATTCAACATAGTGGCTGTATCATGATAGCTATTATTGCAAAAGGAAACCAAGGATCTGTACTGGAAGAGTTCTGATGTATAGCCCAAAGCCACTGACTCTGTCCATGTTACTACTTCTGGCAGGCTTGGTACATGGCAGTGAATTATTGAGCTGGAATATCCTGCAAATATTCTGAGGAATGACATTTTCAAACAAAAGACAGTTCTGGATTTCCTGCCTCATATGTGTTAAAGACTTTTTTTTTTCTCCCAGCTCTAACTTCAGTTCTATATTGTATGTTGGTTTCAAGTCA